AGCATTGAAATGGGAGTTAATTAACATATTGCAATAAAAGAAGCTACCAAAATGCCGTTCATTTAGTAACTAAATATAATTTTCAATAATTATACTTAAAATTAACTAAATTTCTGGAAGATCTTATAAGGTATAGAATATGGTGCTAAATTTATAATTGCAAGCTAATGCTGCCGAAGTACGAGTATAGTGATTTTAAATTTCATTTCAAATTAATTGTGATTGACTCAATGATTCTGTTAATATTTTGTCAAAAATTCTTTGATAAATTAAAAATTAATTATTTTTTATAATAAAATTCAGATGTTCAATTTAATTTATCATTCTATGTAATTTCCATAAATTTAACATTACTCGCCGAAGCACGGACAATAGGCAACAATTTTTGAAATCCTATTTAGTTCCAAAAATATTTTTGTAACATTCCATTACCCCTTCAAAAAAAATCAAAAAAAAATGTTATTTTCCAAAAAATAATTTTTTAAATAGTTATTCAAAATTCTACTAATAAAAATAAGAAAAATTTCATGTGTATTATCTTATAGTTTAGCGAAAGTATTGTTTATGAATATGCTCTTCCAACAGTTCTTTCCAAGTTAATTCATTTTAAACAAGTTAATTTAGTTAATAAATTGACGTGATATATCCCGAAAGTTGATCAATCTGTGAACATAGAAAAAATTTTCAGCTGAACTTGAGATACGCATGTGAACACAGACCGACAGATGTCTCTCTTAATATACTTTATTTACGCTTCCTACCGTTGAGAAATCAGTTTCTGACGAAAACTCGACATTCAAAATTTGATGTCATTCATCAAATTTCAAATTTGATGCCAATGTGTTGGCAATTATTAAATTTATGTACGTATTGAATTGAGTGTCAAGGTTCCAATTCTTAATATTTTTCTCTCTGTTCGTTCAACAATTTTTATTATTGTTCTTTCTTTTTTTAACAACACTGATATTTACACATCAACATATAATATTTAATATATATATATACACTATTTTATACATTTTTATATATTTATTTACAAGATATATATTATATATATACATACATATATTACATATTTCTTGTCTATTATAGAAAGAATATATAAAAAAAAATATTTTTAATACTATTCATGTTTTGTTGACATAGCGCACATTTTTCTAAATAACGTTAAGAATAAAAGAACGAAAATATTTTATTTAGAGAGAGGAAAAATATAAAAATAAAAAAAAATAAAATATAAAAATTATTTTTTATTTAAAAAAAAAAATGTTAAAATTGTGAATAGTTTTTTTTTGTTTCTTCTACTTTTCTCTCTTATTTCCTTTAATTTAAAATTATAAAAAGTACCATGTTTTATAATATAAAAAAAAAAATATGACTTTTAAAATTAAAAATAAAAAAAATATAATAACAAAGTTGTAGTAGTAATTTCGTGTTTTTTTTTTACAATTTTATATTTTTATATTTTTTAATATTTTTCAAAAATAATAATATGTTTACCTTCATTAAAAATATACTATATACGTATAAATAATTAATATTAAACAAAGATGAACGAAAAAAAAACAAGGAGTAAAAAGTATGTATGTATGTATATGAGAACATTATATGAAGTATATATTTATATATTTTATAAAAATATATAAAATTATAAAAATAACACCAAACGAAGAAAAAAAATTGGGTTCTTAAATAAAGAAAAACACTGCAGTGTATTTAAAAAGAGAAGTAAAAGTACAAGAAGAAGAAATATAAAAGATGAAGAGCAAAAATATCTATATATAAAAATATAAAAAGGGTATAAGAGTATAAAAATATACAAGTTTAAGAGAAGTAAAAAAAAAAATCAAGTATAAACAAAATAGAAAGAGCAAAGTGTAAATATGTGCGAAAAAGAAAAATAGTGAAATTTTTTTTTTGCTCTATCAAGAAAAAAAAACATTGTAAATTTATTAAATAATTTATAAAATAATTAAATTTATCTTCATATTTTCATTTTTTCCATCTTCTTATTTTCTGCTTCTTTTTTTTGCCTCTAAATATAGAAATTAAGTGATTGAACCAACAAACCAGTTAAACTGTAAAAAAACAAAAAAACAATAATACGAAAAAAAAAATCAGAAATTTTAGAAAAGAAAAGAAAAGATAAAAAAAAACGAAGTTTCGTTAAGTTTCCTTTTTTTTTTTTTTGCGATATCTTCTTTCTCCTTCATTACTTTATACTTTATTCTTTGCCTTAATTTAATCCTTATAGTTTGATTATTCTCTTCAATTTTTTTTTCCATTTATTTCTTACTGTTATTGCTTGCTATATTTTGCTTCTCAATATTGCTGCTTTGTTCCTGTTTCGGTGTTATTACATTTTGTTCCCTTCTTATATTCCCTTTTTTGATGTCATCTTTGTTTTCTCTTTTTCTCTTTCTTTATAATATCGCTACTGTTGTTTGTGTTGTTATTGCTTTTATTAGTTACCGCTATTACTGCTCTTGTTGTTTGTTACTATGATTATTTCATTTTATTTATTTTTTATATTTAAAGTATAGAAAATAATGAAAAAAAAAAACTATTTTATTTATGTTTTCTCTATTTTTTTTTACAGTTTTTTTTTCAGTAAATTGACTGGAATTCTAATCATATTTCTATAAATATTTTCGCACATTACATATATTAATATGTTTTTTTTGTTATACTATATATTTTCATTTTTAAGATCAAAAAATTTTTTCTAGCATATATACATATATATATATATATATATATATATATATATATATATATATATATATATATCTTTTATTATATATGCAATATACACTATTATATATACAATATAATAATAGTAAAAATTTTTTCATTATTTTTAATTATATATCTATATATATATATATATATATATATATATATATATATATATTTAATTATATGTATTTAAAAACATACATATATATATATATATGTATTTAAAAACTAAATAATAAAATTTAAATTTTATACAACTACTTAAGCAGCCAGCGACATATAACTAATATATCTATATATATATATATATATATGAGAGAAAAACAAAACGAGAAAAGAGAAAAAATAAACAAAATACATTATATATATAAATATACTACAAATCGTGAATTTAAAATCGTATATCGTAAAAAGTAACAACGTTTAGAAATATTTTCAAAAAAAAAACAATAAATAAATAAATATAAACTTTATACTTGAACTTCATTTACTACAAAATATACTATAAAAGTTATTCAAAAAAATTATATATTTTATCAACAAAACAAGAAAATGGAATTTCAATTAATAAAATATTGTAATAATAATAGAAATAAATTTAATAATAATAATATTATATTAATTATAAAATTTATGAAAAATTTCTTAAAAATTAATAATAATAAAATTTTAATAAAAAATTTCAATTACAATTTAATTAAAATGTTATGAATTTAATAAAATACAAAAACAAAAAAAAAAATTATATTTCGTATTTTTTAAAAAATTATATAATTGGTGAAAAAAAATATATAGAAAAATATAATATTAAATGAAACAAAACAAAAATTATATAAATGAAAAGGAAAAAAGTAAAAAAAAACAATTTAAATATTTTATTTTTTAAATAAAATATGATTATATTTAAAACTTTTAATGCTACTGCTATATTATTATTGCATCATTTATTTTATTTATTAAATAATTTTTATATTAATATATTTAATATAAATAATAATATAAATAAAACAACAATAGACATTACGTCATTATTGTTATCTAAATTATCATTGTTAATATCGCTATTGTTATATTCATCGTTTTCTTCATTGTTTTCATTGTTATTGTTGTCAATCACAATAGTATTGTCGTCAGCTACGTTGTCGTCATCGTCATTATCATCATCAAAATTAATATTAACAACGTCAACATCGTTGTTATTTACGTCATCATATTATAATATCAAATCAACAACAACAATAACAAACGTATTATTAAAGAAAATAATAAAATCATTTACATTATTATTATCATCGTTTTTAATAAAATTATCTTTCATTACTAATACTATTACTACTACTACTACTACTACTACTACTACCACAACTAGTAATACTACTAATAATAATAAAAATTTATTGCCGATTAATAAATTGCTATCATCATTATTTATAATATCATCAATTTTCTTATTATTATTATTAATAACAGCATCATTTCTATCATCATTAATAATAATAATCAAAGTAAATATAATAATTTCATTTATAATATTTATATTAATATATTTTAATTGTTTTTTAATTAATAAATTATCATTTTTAATTATTAATTTAATAAAATCATTATATTTAATTAAAAAAATCTTTATTAATTTTATAAATTTTATTATAAATAATAAAATGAATATAAAATTATATTTTATAACATTATTATTAACATTTATAATATTTATTAAAATAAAATTATTTTCAATATTTAATATAAATAAAGATTATAATAATTTATTATCATATAAATTATTATTTATATTATTATTATTATTATTATCAATATTAATAATAATAATAATAATAAAAATATTATATAAATTTAATCATATAATAAAATTAATAATAATTGATAAAATAAAAAAATTTAAAAATTTAATAATTTATAATAATATTATTATATTAAATTATAATAATAATAATTATATAAATATAAATTATAAAATAATTATAATAAAATTTTTAAATATATTAAAAAAATTTATTAATAATATTAATTTTCATTATTATATTGATAATATAAAATTTATGAAAAAAAATTTATTATTATGTATTTTTAATAAAAAATTATTTATAAATATTAATGAAAAAAAAAATGATAAAATTATAAATGAAAAAAATTATTTATTTATATTAAAAAATAATAAAAATTATATAAACAAAAAAATTAAAAAAATTAAAAATAATAATAATGATAATATAATTAAAAATTATAATAATTTTGAAAAAAAGAATTTATTTAAATTAAAATATAATTATAATAATTATAAATATTATAATAATAATAATATTAATTCATTATCTATGATGATAACATTTATTTGGATATGTTTTGCTATTTTGGATATTGCCATTTCATCTGATATATCTTCAATAAATTCACAACAAAAACGAGGTGAGAATGTAATTTTTTTTAATAACATATTAATATTAGTTTTCTATTAAAGTTTCTTTTTAAATGTTTTCAATATTTAACAATTATTGTCCTTCATACTTTTAAATTCGTATGATCAGGCACAGTTCTGACATGTTCGGCGCCCTACGTGATTTTCAAAAAATGTACCCTCTGCTTTCAAAGCAATGAACAATATGCAATAAACATATATGGTTTATTTCTTTGCAGATAATGTTGATCTGGTGCTACGTATAATAAAAAATTAACAAAAGAATAACATTCAATAAAAACGAAGAACAAGCAAGAATAGATAGCTTAGATTTTATATAGAAATAATTGATCCGCCTCTGATCCTAATTTAGATTAAGTATCACTAACAATAATAATTTATGTCATTAGAATATTAGGAAATTATTCAAGTAAAGTTTTTACAATTTCAATTAATGTTCTGAATCGTTAACTTATAAAATGGCCCTTAAACTGCCAATACTGATATTACATATTAAAATAAACTCAAGGAATTTATGAAATTCAAAGCAAATTATTTAATGCCAACAATTTTCTTTCTTGTTTGAAAAAAAATTTCCAACTAAAGACAGTTCTGTGCTCGTAATTATGTCAACGGATAAAGGAGTTTGTAAACACTTGAAGGAGTCGTCTGCGGTACGGACATGTATATATACGCTTGCTCAGTTTAAATTTTGCTTTGATTTAAACATGTCCATCCGTCCGATCGCACAGTAACTCACAAATAAATAAAGCAGACATTGGTCCAATTGTAGATCAGACATTGATCAGGCAGAGTCTAATCTACAAATGGATCCAATTGTAAATCACACATATTGTAGAAGTTTTTATGGAATAATTTGACAGGTTCGAGTATCTGTTATACAAGCATGAAAGCTAATTCAAAGTATTTGGAAAACAGGTTTTTATGCTTAAATTGTCAAGGGGCATGGTATAATTCATTTGGTTTAGACCGATTGAAACGTTTTTGCTTCTTATCCATTAAAAAAGTTTTAAATTAAGAATTTTGTTAAAAATTAATCAGTTTTTTTTTGTATTTTACAATTAATTTGCGTTGTGGTCTTTTATTTTCATTTCAATATTTGCATTAATTAATAAAATAGACAAATTATTTTGTTAATATTGGAAAAAAATTATTAATTATTAATGAGAAAAATAATTTAAATAAAAATTATTTTTGTGGTAAACTTACACAATTTTCATTTAATGTGACAAGATGAAACTCGGCCATGACTTTTTTTTTCATTTTTTTTTTTAAATTGTTCAAAAAATAAATTGATTAAAAATAATTATTAAAATTTAATTAGATACTTAAAATTAATGTATAAACATTGCAATATATACATATTATGTAGGTCATATTTGATGGTAATGCGATTTACATATAAACGTTATGTAATGTGGTTACATAATGTTAAACTAATACTTTTAATTAAGTATTGGATTAAGTAGGAATAGTGTTCTACTTTCATAATATATAACCATGTCCGGGAATTTTGATGTACCAGAAAACCAATAACCATTACTATTACATTTATTCTCCTTGTAACATATCTTCGAGGAAAATATGTTTATTAGTTCTGACTGTACACCTAAATAGAAAGCTTGAAGGCACCAACCTAGAAGGATCACTGGTTTGAGTGCAGTTCGAGACGAAACAGCTGTATGAGAAAATTTGTTTTGCAGCTGTATGAAGAAATTTACATTAGTTATTAATTCGAAATTAAACATCTTACAATTTAGCCGAAATTAAGACAAACACAAACATACCAGCAAAAATAACATTGTGAGTCCTTGAACGTTACAAATTCTTCATTTAATTCAATTACAACACTTTTGTATTGTAAATAATGCATTCTTTCTAGATAAAGGCAAATATAAGTACTTGTATCCTAGAAGTATGCAATTTGTAAAATATTTAAATTCTTATTTATTTTGGCTTTCACAATCTCTTAAAACTTTTTTTTTTATTAAATAAAATTTTCTTAAATATTACGAGTATTATTTATATACACACATACAGTTATGTCCTGTTTTTGATAAGCAAATAATTTTAAACTTTTTGTTAGTGAATAATGTATACAATACCAGCTCAACAAACCCCACACCTATAAGCTATACTTTGTAAACTGCAATTTAACAATATTCCAATAGATTTTAATTATTTTCTTAAATAATTTTTATATTTATATGTTCTTAAAATATATAAGAACAGGTTATATAACATGCAAATCTTAAAGAAAGAGTACATTAATATTAACATATAAATGAGCTGATTTTGCAATTTAATTTATAAAGTATTTACAATAAATTATTATTTTTATCTTTCTTATTCTAATAATAAATATAATTATAACTTATTGATATGCACATAAATACACAATACATTCTCGTTTAATATTAATAGGAAGTATATTAAATTTAAAATTAAATTCAAAAACTAAATTAAATATAATAAAGTGTGTTGAATTCAATACCATAGTCATTCGGTTATACTCGTATAATTCAAATTTCTTAATACCAATAAAATGTAAAAGCCATCTGTTGGCTCAAAAATACACTGTATTTATTTAGCGGGAGCACTTTTTTGTCTTAGTAGACTACTCATAAATAATGGTATGTAAACTTGAGTAGATGTAAGCAAAATAAGTAATTTATTCAGTTAAATGAAATGCTAGCATTTCAAACTAGCATTTCAAAATACTTATTTTTATTCTTAATTTAGAATTGACAATCTCCATTACATATTGATAATGAATGCTTTTGAAAAAGCCAGAATTAATGGAAGGACCATCTCATTTTTAACATTCATGTATTGAAGGTAATGGCTAATATCAATTTATTCTAATTGATATTTTACATAAAAATTATAAGAATTTGAAATTTAATTTTCAAAATAATTTCCATATCTGACATCGTTACATTATTCGAAGGTTCACTGTATTTTATATATATGCATACATAAATTTTGTACAAGAAACTTTGTATATCTTTTTATAAATTTTAATAATTCAATTTTCCTTTTGTAAAATTTACTTTTGTTTTTTGTCTTAATTCATTTATACATTTAAAAAAAAAAGAGAGAGAAAAAAACAAAACTAAATTTGAAAAAGTTTTAAAAGTATAGGATAGTTTTTTCCAAAAAACAACAAACAAAAAAAAAACACAAGAAAAAACATTTTATTTAAAAGTTGCTACAAAAGTTATCTTTTGTTTTTTGTTTTATTACCTACTCAAACTTTTATAAATATTATTATTTTTATCAGACTTAAAATTATACACGTACAAATATAAAATTAAATTATATAACACACCCTATAGAGTAATGCTGCCACACTATACAAAATATTAAAAAATGAGGTATACCGGTAATATTAACTACTCATTTTCAGCCTTCATTTTGTTTATTCAGGTTTATTTTACGATACCATATAAATAGTGCAATTTCATATGAAATACATGTTGGAAATTATTAGCTGACTACCTAGCGACAAATAGATATTTTATTTGCTAAAGAAACAAACAAGTTTATGATTCTTCTGGAAATGTGCATTTCATTTCACTGTTCCAGTATATTTTATATCATTAAATTCTACGATATGCCAACATTTATTAATACTTTTTATTTGAACCATCGTTCTTTACTTTCATACTTGTCGGGTTCCTAATGAAAATTTTGTTCTTAGCTTGTTTTTTTGATCTTTTTTTAATATTAAATAAATTCCAATTGAAAATTTCCAAACCTAATTAATTTTATAATTACCTAATTACATTCAATTTCACTAAAATAGTCCTCAAACTATTATTAATTTTATAAAATACTTGAAATAATTAAATTTTGTATATTGCTAATCGGAAATTTATATGCAATAATATTAATTAATTAACACAAATTAAATATTCGAATATAAAATGAAACCTTTGTTCTTCTAAATTGGAAAACTCCTATTGGTTAATGGGGATTACTTGCACAATATTCGGTATAATTGCATGTTATCCGTAAATCATTCGTGAATTTCTTTTTTTTTTTCAAAATTACTACATATTCTTTTAAAATATTAACAGCCTTATCTCAAAATATGATAGTTTTACACTAAACATCGTAAAATTATTATAGTAAAATTTGAACTCAAAAATCTTATCAATTTTGGAATTATATCTTCGAATAGTTGAGCGCACCGAATTATATCCATAAAAAGATACAAATATCAAAATTAATATTGATGAACTTAAATTAATGATGGACAAAAAACAGCTGGTAATATCAAAATATTATCATTTATAGTATAAAATTTAATAATTTGAAATGTCAGATTTGAAATTAATACCTGCTGAACTAAGCAGTTATACACTAATAAATAGATTTGAATAGCATCCTAACACTTAACTAAAATACGAGTATAAGAATTTTCACTAATTAATCATTATTATTATTATAACTATGAAATAATTATTGCACTGTTACAAAGATAAAATGTTTGTATTGCAATATTTGACTGTTATACAAGTTTTTGTAATTATACTTTTAGCCGTAAGCCCGTAGCTTCAGGCTCATTCGAGATTTGATAAATTGAAATTGAATTTTCGATATAATATGGCAATATTGTTCTGTAGGTGCGACATACTTACAAAAAAACGTACATGTATGAAAAAAACTTTTTATTTATTTAAAAATTTTTTATTATTTTCTTCCTTATTTTTCATAAAATTTTCATTAAGTTTCAATATTTTCGATAAAATTTTATAAATTTCTTTTAAAAAAAAAATCTTTTGTTATTTTTTTTTGTACACTCTTTTTATTTATAAAACATCAAGATAGTGTTCTTCTCTTTTTCTCTTTTTTGTCCTATTATTTGCCATTTTAAATCAATTTTTCCAAAAAAAAAAAAGTTTAAGTTTCGATAAATTCTATATTAAAATTCAATATAAATTAAATTATTTAGAAAGCACAAGACAACAAAAAACAAAAGTCT